ATGGCATCCTGATGTAAGAGGAGAGAGTGTACACAGAGACAAGAAAATGGGTGGATGGAAAGATTCATTATTGTGACTCTCCTGAGCCCGCCCTCCCCTTCCTGCCTCCCGAGAGAAGCAGTTGCCTTCCCCACGCACATGTGCAGTCCTTCAAGATCTCTCTGGAAACAGTAGTGGGCCAGCTAATGGCTCCAGAGCATTGTCATGCTTGAGTCAGCGGATGTATCTCACTTTGTTCCCTTCTGGAAAACAAATGCATGCCACCTCCTAGCACACTTTATAATTGTCTGATGGGTAGTGTTCTCCTAAACAAAATATTATTAACAGATGACTGATAAAATCATCTTTGTAGTTCTGGGATGGAAAACACTATTATTAAAAAAACGAGCCAAAGTTGAAACTTCTATTGAATATATATGTTTGATAAAAATATATTGAATATACATCCAATACACATAGACAGGGTGTCCGCCCAAAATTTATACACACTTTCATGTATACACACTGATAGCTCAATTTTGAAAATGAAATGTATTTCAACAAACACTGCCTTTATAATTATTCAAAGTGTGTGTATACATGTTGGGGGACACCCTATATACATATAGATTTAAGATAATCAATGCGAGTTATCAAATATGAAATGACTTGTGTGCTTTTTTAGTCCAGCCCATAGAACAGGTTCTGTGACTTTGGCCAAGTCCCTTATGCTCTCTACATCTGTAAAATGTGAAGAGCTGGAAAATGATCCTGCCGCATCTCTGCAGCTTGTCATCTTCTGTTTCCGTGACTCTGATTTGGTTTGGGCATGGATGGAAAGGGCAACCAGAATCCACAGATGACCCCTAATCTCAAGGCAGCCGACAGATCCAACCGTAATGCAGCTTAGCTAGAATGACTCAGAGTGAACCAAATGGACTGTAGGAACTCCTGTTTTTCACTCGCTGCTCTAATTGACCTCATAGAGTTTTATGAGCAATGAAATGACAGGAAGGGGGGAGGAGGAGAGGGGGAGAGAGAGGAAGTAGGAGAGAGAGAGAGAAAAAGAGAGAGAGAAGCATCGATCGGTGGCCTCCCCTATGCGCCCCAACTGGGGATCGAACCCAACCAGGAATGTGTCCTGACCAGGAATCAAACCGGCAACCTTTCAGCGCACGGGACGGAGTTCCACCAACTGAGCCACCTGGCCAGGGCTTAGGCCCGTGATCTTTAAAAAGTCACTGTGCCTCCACGACATCAGTTCCCAGTCTGGGAAATGGAATAGTAATTCTGGTCCTACCGAGTCGCCAGACCCATGATAAAGGTCCAAAAGGGTGCTATATGTGACGGGCTTTTGATAAAGTAAAAATTACCATACAAACCCAAAACGGTGGATTGTGGGGCTATCAGCATTTTGGTATGAAACCCTCTGGTTCAGCAACTTAAAGGCGCTGAACTGATCTTTCTGTGCTTGGGAGCTTTTGAATTTCTTTCCCCCCAACTCTAAAAACTCATAGGCTTTGGTCAGCTTCTCTGTGTCCTGGCCTGTCAATCAGCTGACATCACAGCAGTGGTTAAAATAAGGCCACAGACAGTGGCCTAGATGTGTGTGCGTGTGTGTGTGTGTGTGCGCATTTAAGAAAGTGCACGTACCTTTGACCTGCTACATATGTTCATCCAATTAAAAAGGGAATAATGACTCATTAACCAAACAAGGCCTAGAAAAAAAATACACTCGTTTAATACAATCCCAGTGACTTCCTCACTCTTTCTACTTCACTGCTGCTTATGTGAGTTAAAACAACAGGCTAAATGGAGACTTGCAGGGCCCCACGGGACCAATTAATGCCACGTGACTTCCTCCCGGCCTTCCATGAAAATAACTATATTATAATGGTCTGTGATATTAATATCAGCTTTGGAAAAGTCAGGCAGCGACTCCATAGGGAAGGAAGCGGCCTGAGCAAGGACTGTGGAATGTGCAGCATTTGATGGACGGGAGGCCACATCGTTTTATAAGCTGCATCACGTAGTTAAATGAGGGGGTGGGGTACCAAACAGGCTTGTGGGTTAATTAGGGTTCAAAGGCCACCAGGGTAGTCCATCCCTGATCTTAAACTCCAAGAAAGTGTGGTTGTTGGCGGAAATGTTGGAAATTAAAGTTCTCAGAAAGAAAACCTTTTCGAAGCCCTCCCCTCCCCCGCCCTGGATTTCTCCAGATTTCTTCCCACCGCAGAGGCAGGATGTGTTAGGACAGCTCTGTTTGTGTTGGAGTGTAGACCTGGGATGAGGTCGGGTGGGTACACCTCCCAAGTGTGTTGAGTAGTTCAGTGGGTTTTTTTAGTGGCACCAGAATGCAGGGCAGAACCAAAGGTAGTATGAGCCACAACATCAATGGTCTTGCTCCAGGTTCCTTCAAATGCAACTGTAGGGATCCCAGGTTCATGCCCCACCCAGGTCCCATCCCAGACCCACTTTCTGTAGAGTCTGGAGTGACCCAGTGCTCTCCCTGTGGCCAAATTCCCCCTCTAGCGTTTATGGCAATGGGCCAGGCACTTTTCTTGGTTGTAAATTGCTATAGTGCATTAACTCCACTCAAGGGTGGTCCCAAAGCACAATAGAGAATAAAAATTCCCCTGGGATCAGATGCTTAGTGGCCCATCTAATTATCCAGGAGAGATTGCCAACGGAAACAATCTGGATGCAATGCCTGGACAGTGGCTAATGGTTTGATCAGATAATTAGAAGCTTAGGAAGAAAAAGACTGGAGAATTGGTGATGGAGAAGTTTAGGGAAAAGCTGGATAAACTCCTCAGAATGAGCCCAAAATATTAGACTGTTTGTGTCCAATCTGCATGCTCCCCCAAAGGCCCCCACTCTAGAGAGATTTTCAGTAATCTGAACAAAATGATTCACTAAAGATGCCCAGGCCTGAGCACCATGGTGGCACGATACCCAGGAGAGCCAGTCAACTACTGGGTAGAAACTGGTCATATTGGACCCTTCCTTCGTGGAAGGGGCAGAAATTACCCACTGACATAGTTACCTACTTTACGTTTGTTTTTACTGTCCTACTGTGCTTCTGCGAACACTTCTAATCACTGGAACTTACCTAAATTCTGAAGTATCATCATGAAATCCCGATTCTATATTCTTTTCTTTGATAATCATTGTGACTTTCTTGACATTATTTTCCAATTCTCTTGAAGTAACATTTAAGGGCTTTTAATATATAATCATGCCATTCAAATAAGCTTTTAAAATAATTTAAACAAACCGACCTATAATAAGAGTTAAAATTGTAAATAGATTGCTTATGACTAAGAAACTGGCTTTACAGAAAAAGAAATAATGGGCTGATGATTGTAGAATTCACTGATCTAACCATGTGTCCCACTATCCATAAACAACGGACCTTATGGAAAGATGGGGTGATCAATTGAAAACTCAGACATAGTACCAACTGGCTACCCATTGGTAGACCACATCCTGCAAATTTGGGATGCTGTCCCTCAGGATGAATCATTTACTTTGAATTAATGGTGAATAAATGATAGCCTCCCTGTTCTAGAACACACAGAGTCAGGAGCACTTGGGAAGAAATATGAGGAACCACTCACAATTACCTCTAATGACCCACTATGAAAATTTTGTGTTCTGTTCCTGGGCTCTGCTGGTTTTACTACCCAATGGAGAATTGCTTCTACCAAGAGAGTTACTTCCAGTAATTCTATAAACTTTGGAGTAAAACAGCCACTTGGACATTCAGGGATTCTCATGTCACTGGAAAAATTCAACTGGAAGTTGAATTTTATCCTAGGTTGATTGATCCTGACTACTAGAAAGAGGGAGAAAAAAGACCATCGACACAACCCAAGGACACCTCTTGTACTGTTATTGTGAGTGGTAAAGATGAGTAGAGGACTATTGCAAGCTTACACCAGCAGAAACAAGGGCTCAGATTTTTAAAGAGTGAAGATTTAGGTTTTAGGTTGCCCTACTGTGTGCTAGGTGAGGCCGAGAGAACATCAAATGGTAGTGGGGAGAAAGCTGTAAGTACTAGCTACCATCTATATATAGAAATTCCTATCAGAATGTGTTGTTGGTGGTGATAATTCCTAATTAATCTTCAGTTTTAGAAATTCAAGATGGGATTGTAACATGTAGAAATATTTTTGGAAGTATGAGTTTGAGAGGAAGTGTTTATGGGGATGTAAGGCAGGCAGAGGAATAGATTATAATAGACTTGACTATCCAGAATCTCAACATTCTCTTTATTAGGGAGGGATCCCCAAATTGGTGGACTACCAGGACCCCACTTTCCATTAGAAAAACAAAGGAGGCAGATACTTCCTCTCCCCCTTCCCTGACTTCAGTATGTCCATGTGACCAAGACTTGTTCAATCACATTTAGGATCTCACCCAGAACTGAAACCTGAGGGAGTGATGCACAGACCAAAGGGCAGATAAGCTATTTATGACCGCAGGGACATTAGAGTTGAGAGTCCTGAGGTGGGGTCAGCTAATGTCTGGGGTGGATGTGGTGACAATGAAAGCAACAACACATGTCATGAGCTGGTGACATTTTAACCAGATTATTTAAGTGTTGTGATCTCAACTATGTTTTTGGCCGCCTAACCTTCCTTGATTCCTATCCATTTTCTGAGTCAGGTTCTCCAGCCTTCATGTTGATTTGGGAGCCATCCACCATCCTTCCAAAAAATTTCTTTCCTCAGGGTGGCCAGAGTTAATTCTCGTTATTTGTGCAGTGGTGTCATGGCTCAAGGTGGCATTCGTTCTGCCTGGGCAACCTCACTGCAGCCCTTTCCCTTGAAATTGGCGGACATATGGTCACTTTGGGATTGGTCCCTGTCTTGGTGCAAGACTCCTCCTTTCACCTAATGCTTGTCTCCTTTGGCTTTCTGTGTAGCAGCTGTCTATACTTCGTCATTCAGTGTAAAACAGCCTTTCTCTCTGACAGCATGCCATTTTTATTTTATTTTATTTTTTTTAGGAATGGTTTGGGAGACAATATGAGGAAATCATCCCTATGAAGCAAGCAAAATTGTCCTTCAAGTTAATTCCAGCTGTTTTGTGGGGACAGATTAGATGAATTCTGACTACCTTGATTCAAGGTGAGTTTCTTTTACACCTGGCTAAAGGTATGCTAATTTGCCTTCCATTTTTATAATGTAAAGTCACTTCCTGGATAGAGCAGTTAACTCCAGTGTGTTCCAACCTACTTCCCAGACAACCCCTTAGGACATTAAACATTTTATCTCCTTAGTCTGACACATTTACACTCTCCCCCAATACAAACACAGGGAGCCCTAGTCGGTTTGTTTTAGTGGTTGAGCGTCAGCCCATGGACTGAAGGTCCCAGGTTCAATTCCAGACAAGGGCATGTAGCTTGGTTGCAGGCTCAATTCCTGTCTCCTGGGTGGGCATGTGCAGGAAGCAACCAATTGATGTTTCTCCCTCACAGTGATATCTCTCTCTCCATCCCTTCCACTCTCTCTGAAAAGCAATGGACAAAATATCCTCAGGTTAATATTAAAAAAATAAACAACAAAACCCACAAAAATACACAAACACACACACAGGGATTTGGGAACCTTAGCCATACATACACCATTTTAGATAGGAAGAGATTCACTCAGTGATACAATTTAGCTTCAACTAATGTTAAGTATTCTCTCAGTTGAATCTATTGAATGCATAGATCCTGTGTAAATTAGTTATATTTGTCCTATAATTTTAGTTAAATAGAATCTTATGGTATCGACTCTCATGTGGCTAGCTTCTTCCATTCAGCACAATGTTTTGGGGAATCATTCATGTTGTTGTATAAATCAGTTGTTCATTCTTTTTATTGCTGAATAGAAGTATCCCATTATATGACTATGCCACAAGTTATTTATTCATTGTACTGCTTATAATTGTTTGGATGATCGTTTTATTTTCATGATTACTAGTAAAGCTGCAATGAGCATTTTTGCTGTGTCTTTTTTTTTGAGATTTTTGGACATGTTTCAGTTTCTTTTTGGTAAGTACCTAAAGTGCAGTTTCTGGGTCACACATGGTAAATGTACTTTAACCTTATAAGAAACTGTCTAATATTTTTCAAAGAGGTAGTACCATTATATACTCCCATCAGCAACATAGGAGAGTGTGGTGGTTTTATATGCTCTGGAAAATTTGGTGTTGTTGGCTTTTTGGATCTATACGTTATGAATATCACCTTACAAAGCTATTCATTTATCTTTAAATGGCTAATTTCTTTTAAGGAGGTTATTTAAAAACATAATATTTTATAATAAGCCACTTATTTATTATTTCTGGTGCTCTTTATTTCTTCATGTGCATTCTAGCTTCTATCTGGCATCATTTATCTTTAGTCTTTGGATTTTTTGGTAATAAATTCTCTCAAGTTTTGCTTATTTGAAGATGCCATCCTTCCTTTTGAAGGATATTTTAATTGGTTATAGAATTCTGTATTGATAGTGGGTTTTCCCCTTTTATTTAAACTATGACATTCCATTACCTTCTGGCTGCCATTGTTTCTGATGAGAAGTCAGCTGTCATTTGCATCATTGTTCCCCTGCATATAATGTGTTTCCTTTGTCTGTTTTCAGGGTTTTTTTCTCTTTATCTGTTTTTAAGCAGTTTGACCATGATTGTGCCTTTGTATTTACTCTCAGGGCTTGCTAAGCTTCTTGATCTGCAAGTTGATATTTTTGAACAAATATAGAAAATTTTCAATTATTCTCATTCTGGTCTCCAAATACATGTGTATTAGACAGTTATAATTGTCTCATAAATACATCAGCCTCTTTATTTTTATTCAGTTGTTGCTTCTCTTTTGTTTTGCCATTTCCAGTCTGCTATTTTTTATTTAAATTTTTATTCTAGTCTATTTTTATTTGATTCTTTACAGTTACATATCTTTGTAGATATTCCCTATATTTTCACTTATTCAGGCCATGTTTTCCTTTAATACTTTTTTCTTTATTTCCTCAACAATATTTATAAAGTCTTTGTCTGCTATATCCACTATCTGGGCCATCTCATATTTTTGTTGTTGTTGATTATGGGTGACATTTTCCTTTTTCTTTACATATCTTTATGTTTCTGATTATGTGCTCAACTTAGTGAATGCTATATTGTAGAGTTTCCGAAGGCTGTTGAGTTTTGTTCTAGTAGACAGTTCAGTGACTAGCTGTTTACATTGAACTTACAAAGGTTTGGTTTATGCTTTACTGTAACTCACTCTAATTGGAGACTGGGGTGGAGGAAGTAATTTTTAAACTCTGTCTTCCTCCCTCAAGGCTTTTTTCAGGGCTTAGTTTAAAGCATTTTTAGGGCAGATACAGAGTAGGAATTACTCTAGAGTATAGTTCATACTCCAAAGGCCTGGCCTTTCTGGCATCTCAGCAAGTTGCCTGGGATATCAGTGGGGCATTAACAAAGTTTCTCTCCTCTGGCTGTAGCAGAACTACAACGTCCCCCAAGTACTGCTCATTCCTCTACTACTTTTGCTCAAACCCAGAGCAGCCACTCTTGATAGCCTAAAGTAGTATTGCTCTGTGAAGTTTAGCCCAGCCTGCAACCAAGGACTCACAGATTTCCTCACTTGAGCTTTTGAATACTTCTTTCCTCTCTGATTACCTATCCTTTAGAATGTAGCAAGATCTAGAGCTAAGGTACTTCTCGGGGTGTACAGGAAGTGGAAAAGGAGCTCCAAGTATCTGAGGATGGCAGGGGAATGCTACTAGGCTAGGCCCTGTCCAGTTCTTTCTGGCAACTGGACAGTAGATCCATGAATGTCTCCTAATTTAAGGTGAGGGCATTGTCCTCAGTCAGCTTAAGTTTTCACACCTACATTATCTCTGATGATACCTATTTCCCTGGCCCTCTATGCAGAACAGTATTTATTTCTAGACTTGAGCCCTTGGCTGTGCTGGCAGAAAACTGAAATGCAAACTGAAAATCAGATATGCCTAGGCTGTGGAACCTCCAGAGGGTCTCTCTCCCTCCCCTTTCAGGGTCCTGTTGGGCAAGTTGATGGGGGGAGGAGGCTGCTTCTTGCCTCTGCTTCCTCCTTTCTTCCCCCAAAATAGTCAGTGCCCACCCCTGAGAAACAGAATGTACCCAACCAGTCCTAAGAGGCGGGGAGCTGGGAGCTCTTCCTACCCCCCACCCCCACATTTATGCCCCTAACACAGTGTAGCTGGGCTGCAGCAGCATTTGGAGAAACCTATGGGGAGCTCCTCGGCGGGGCGGCTTTGATGATTTCTTCAGACACATGGAGCAGACTGACAAATTGACTTTCAAGTGAAAGGTCAGTGTCGAGAACCAAGGGGTAGAGCATCTGGATTCACAATTAAAACGCCTGCGGAGCACAGTGTGCAGCTCCGGCGTCTCCTTGTGTAGGAGGTGCTGTCGGAGGGACTTATTTGGCAGCTGTGTCTGACTCTGGATTGGGATTGGAGAGAATAAAAATTCCTTGTGGTCGTCTGTGCGTGGATGTGCACACACACCGGGATTGTGTGTGGGTGTTTCAAGAGAAATCCTGCTCTTTGGCAAATGCAAGCACAGCTCTTTTGCTAACTCAGTTCTGCCCTAGATTTGACCTCCACAGCCTGTCCAGGGTGAGCAGATCTGCAGAAGGGCTGGCTGGCTCATCACGGCGCCTGCCTTTTATAGCCAGGAATGAAAGAACACTGAGGATGGAGTTGGAAAACCAAGTTTGATCACTGATTTACTCTCTGACCTTGGGCCAGTTGTCGTTTCCAGTATATAAAGGGCTGCACCCAGACACCTGCAGAAAATGTATTTGCTCATCCAGTTGAAAAGAGAGCCAGGCCCCATCAATGCCTTTTCTCTATGTTCCTGGTCATAGGGGTAGTTGTTCTATTTCCAGTCTACAAAGTGTTTCCATATCCGAAGATATGGTGAAAGAAAACAGGATATTCCTAGAGTGCCTGAGGACCCAGGACCCCAGAAAGTGCTGTATATTGGGGCCCAGTGCACCTAATTCTTAGCTATCTCAGGGTACCTTCTGTATCCAACACTGGCTTTTGAGGTCTCACTGACATAATTAAGCAGGTAGATGATAAACCCCTGTAATAACACCATTCATTATGGCCTGTTTACTTTCCTCCCCTTTGCAGCAGCCAGCCCTGCAGGAGGTCCCTAAAACCCTCTGTTGAGTGATGGGATGCAAACCTCCCTCCACAGTGGAGGCTCTGCTGCTCCGGCTACCTCCCACCGGCCCAGCAGGTGGTTGCACTTTGGGGGGCACTTAGGAAGGGATATTTTTAGCTCACTCTTCCCCTTCCTCCTGGCAGGAAGCAGTCAAGATAATGGAACTAAGCTAGTGGTAGAAAGTGTCAGAGAAGGTTTCTAAAAAGAGAGAAACAGAAGCTGAGCATGGAGTTTGGAACGTGTTGATTGGAAAGGACCAGTGTTTTCCAAGTAAAGATAATAGAAGAGGGTTTGGGCCCTGGCTGGACTAGTTGGGAGACAAGGAACCCTTTCCTTAATGATGCAGGCTATGGAGCTATCCTGCCAGGAATCAAATCCTGCTTCTGTGACTTACGAGCTGGGTGATGCTGGGGATGTTATTAAACTTCCCTGTGTCTCAGTTTCCTTTTCTGCAGAATGAGGTGAGACCTATCTCACCGAGTTGTAGCAAAGATTAGTTATCACATGTGAAACACTGAGAACAGTCTCTAGCGCACAATAAGCACCGCACGGGTCTTAGTAAACATCATTAATTGTCTTTGGATTAATCCATTGCCCTCTTGTTACCTGCCTCTTCCACATGCTGTGGTCAGGTAAACACATTCTTACTTTGGCTTTACAATAACCTATATGAGGAAAACAGGGAAAGGGTAATTATTACCTTCCTTTGACAGATGAGAAGCTTTAGAAACATTCTTTCTTTTGATTGGCCTTTAAGGTCCTCATTCTTACCCAGATTTTCTCTTATATTTCTCCTATTCACTGTTAACATTTTCTGTAAGGTAAAGGAGTTATTTATATTTATATACAGCAAATACTTACGGGATACCTACTATATACCAGAAACTGTTCTGAGTGCTAGAAACCGGAGGGTGAGTAGACACATACA